CTCCATTGTGAAACTTGTTACTGTTTCTGGCATATCAAATACATTGCGGGGAGCTTTGCCCGGGCGGGATACTCTCAGTAGCTTGCTGGGATCTCTGAGAGGGGCGGAGAAATCAAACCTGGGTCGGTCTCATACCAGGTAAACGCCCTATCCGCTGTGCTACCACTCCAGCCCAATTCGGAATCATTTTTGAAAAACCAAATACATTTAAAAATTTTAAGATGCTATCAAAGATAAGAAGAAAAGTAAAAATCACTATGAAAATTAAAAGAAAGTGAGAATTTTGAGAAGAATATTTTTTTAATGGAAGTTAACAAGGAGAGTGATGACTTCTAAGTTAAAATAGGCAAATAACATTTCAAAGACTGGTATAAGAATATCAAACAAATGGGAGAATCAAATATGACTGAAACTGTTTTCTTCTGTGGACCCAAATTCCTAGACAAAGAGCAATCCGAACTCAGTTAATCCAAGTGCGAATGTTCCACATAGAAACAGGAAATAAAGTTGTGAATCATGCTGGATCTATTTGTTATAAAACATAAGAATTTGACTCAGATGGGACTGGAGAGGTGGTACCAGGGGTGTGTCACTTGTCTTGTGGGCAAACTGACCCCTACTTAGTCCCAGCACCACATATGGTCCCTATGCACTGTTATACATGACTTCATAGCAAAGAACTAGGAGTAACCCCTGAGTACCACCAGGTGTAACTGGCACGGCCTCTCTCTCTCTCTCTCTCTCTCTCGCTCTCTCGCTCGCTCGCTCTCTCTCTCGCTCACTCTAGCTCACTCTAGCGCTCTCTCTCTCTTGCTCGCTCTCTCTCGCTCACTCTAGCTCACTCTAGCTCTCTCTCGCTCGCTCGCTCTCACACACACACACACACACACACACTCCAATTTGGTTAAGAAAGTAGGAGTATAAACTGTGGTCAGTAGAACTGTGCTCTGAGGAAGCTGGTGGTGGAGGCTTTTGGGCACTCTGATGGTGGCCATAGTGTAGTGGCGCTGCAAGTATAACATAAAATTGATGCCATTGTAAAAATGAATAATAAAAGCTGAATAGAGAGTGTGGGAGTAATTCAAAATGAACAGCAGAAGGAAGAAAAAGAGCACTAGAAAGCAAGCAAGCAAGATGCAAAACAGCATCTATTGATGCATGTGTGAGTGCATGTAATTGAGCTTCCTTCAACTCTCTCCTGAGCAGGAAGAACAAGGCAGGGTCTTGCCGTGGACTGCTCACAACTCTTGTCTTCGCAAGCAGAGGAGAACCAGCTCCATCTGAGGAAAAACAGAACAGGGTCCTATGGGCTCACCAGACTGGTAGATGTGGTAAGGTTATATCCGGTTAAGGCAGTGGATCTCAAATGAAAGCCTGGGGACGTTAGGAAGGGTCCCTGAGGTTCTTTTAGGACTGCAAGGTCAAAGGCATTTTTTTTATAACACAAAGACATCATATACCTTTTTTATTTGTTCAATCACAAGTATATATCAGAATTTTCCAGGGGCTGCATGACATGTGATGTCAAACAAATGGAATGCAGAAGTGGAGAGCAGAAACTAATTGTCTTCTAGTCAATTGGTCAACTTGCTATTCAGGAGATCAGCAAATACATTTTAAAATGCTACTCATTGCTTTTTAAAAAGAACATAAGAACAAAATAGTGTTTTTCATAAAAATTTGTAATTTGACATGTAATTATTATTTTGATGATTGCATTTTTTAAAAAGTTTTTTCCCATTATAATATTTGATTGCAGCAAATATTGACAAATGTAATACGTAGAAACAATATTTCTCCAGCATCTCAAAGAGGTAAAGATATTCTTAAACCTGAGATTTTGAGAATTGCCCTGGCCAACTTAAATTGGACCTACATCTCAAATGGTATCCCCAGAACCCTGTTTCCAGCTTTCGAACTCATTTCCTAGGAATTGACTTCCTTCTCAGGCCTGAGAGAACCAATATAGCACTGGTAGCACTGTCATCCCATTGTTAATAGATTTGCTCGAGCGGGCACCAGTAACATCTCCATCCATCCCTGTCACATGCTAGTGTAGCCGAATGGCATCTGCTTGCTCCAGGAAAACAAAGTGAGACTTGTTGTTACTGTTGGCATATCGAATACGCCACGGGTAGCTTGCAAGGCTCTGCCATGTGGGCGGGATATTCTCGGTAGCTTGCCAGGCTTTCCGAGAGGGATAGAGGAATTGGACCCGGGTTGGCTGTGTGCAAGGCAACTGCCCTACCCTCTGTGCTATAGCTCCAGCCCTAAGAGGACCTGCAGCAATTCCAGATCTATTATGATTAACTGAGCAGGTCTATAGAGAGACCATCGATCATCCCAGTAAAATTTCTAGCTATGACATTAGCCACATGTAAGTCACACCCATTCGTTTGCCCTCCATGAGTCAGGGTCAAGTTAGCTGGTGTCTGGATCATTTAAGCCAGACACAGAACCAGGAGCACATAGCAGCACAGGTTTGAGGAAGAAGTGAGAGATGCCTAAAAAGACAAAGCAACAACAAAAGCTAAATACACACTCACATATCAAGACTATCTAGGTGGACCCTAATGCAATTAAACAGTGACCTTATAAGACTAAGGTAGAGGGACATTTGACACAGTGGAGGAAAGGAGGAGAAGGCAACTGTAACCTTGAAAGCAAGATCTGAAGTTCTGACCATAAAGCCAAAAATCATGTTAGCCATGAAGCTGAAATCATCAAAGGTAGGAGGCGCCTCCCCACTGTCTCCAGTGTGTCCTGCTGACCCTTGATTTCAGCTCATGTGACCAATTTCAAGCTTCTGACTTATGGCCCTGGAGAGAGTACATTTCTGTTGCTTTGAGACACAAACCTTTTGTTCGGGGCAACTTATTTGAGCAACCACGAGAATCTAGTATACCAGGTCTTCCAAAATGATCTCCATCCCCAAATGAGCAAGTTTGTTTTTCTTTTTTTTTTCTTTTTTGCAATGCCAGAAAATCTGAATCCTGTGCCACAGATTTAGAAAGACAATTACCCTGTTCTCAGAATTCTCTCCCTTCTACTGTCAGTATCTTGAGACAATAGTGTTGTTTTTCTCTCCCTGGGGAGGCGAGGGTCTAATTTCATCCTCTGATTAGAATTGAATTTTAGCGAATTAGAAATCAAATGTCCTGTGATGGTCATTTAGGAAGTTGTCTTTTTGTCATAAGTTACACAAACAACTAACTTCAGCTGAGATTTCGTTCTCCAGTCTGAGGATTTCATTTTTATCCCCATTTATGCTGCTTGAAGGTTAATTCCATTCAGATTATTTAAGCTTTTCCTGGCTTAAGCTCTTTTCGTGGCTATGTTCTTAGCTCTAAAAATTACTTTTAAGTCTGACCAGTGGAAGATATGGGACAAGAGGTAGGTGAAGTGGGAATTATTTTAACCTACATCAAATAAAGCTTTAAGTATGTTTTCAAATTATACATACATTTAGGGGAGGGATTTGGGCTACACCCAGTGGTACTCAGGGACTATTCCTGGCTCTGTGCTCAGGAGTGACTCTATATTGTGCCAGGGATTCAAACAAGAGTCTATGTCAAAGGAGTGGCATGCAATGTTAACCTCCTGTACCATCTCCCTGGCCCGTATATATACATTTTCATTAGCTATTTAACTTGATATTTCATTCGATATTCATTAGGTATCTACTATGAGAAATAGAAGTGTTATAGGATTACAAAACAGTTCTGATTTTCAGTGATTGCCATTTTATTTCCTTTGTTTTTTGTTTTCAGATTCATTACTTTTGATATTAAATATTGATAAGCTGGTGAGGTGCTTGCTTTACCTATGCTGAGCCAATTCAATCCTTTGCACAGTCTATGGTATCCTGAGCCCTTCCCGGAGTGAGCCCTGAGGGCAGAGAGGAGAATCCAGAGCACTGCTGGGTGTGACTGCAAACCAAAATAAATAAAATAAATATAGATTCTGTAAAATATTAATCACAGAATTAAGGAGGGGCAGAAGTACTATGTTAATACATAACATGGTATTTTTGTCTTGGAACGCCTCTGACAAAGTTACTACTAAAAAAAAATCAAATCAATGTATGTCAAGTGATGTATACTAGGTACCAATAAATCTTACTTGCATTTGTATGCTTGCAATACAAACTTCATTAATTATTAATTATAACACAAATACCTAAATTAAATAACATCAAAAGCCACAAAATTGTTAAGCTTATATTTCAACATAAGTTATATTATCACATAACATTTAAACATAATTGTTTTAGCAAAGAATATTCCTTGGAAAGAGCTCTAAATGATTCCAACAGCTTAATAATTGAGGTTTGGGTATAAAAGCTATGCTGTTCACATTTTTTAAAAAAGCAGTAAGGTTAAATGTTTATATACCATGATTGCAATATTCCATTGATCGCCTGTAATTAGAATAACATTCAGCATTCCTCACCAGACATTCAGTATTTCTCATTTAAAGAATGGATAATCAATAACCTTGGAATAAATGACAATTAAAATGCAGATGAAAGCCTGTCTCCTGTTTGTATAGAGTCAAACAAGCAGAAATTTGATTGACAAGTCCTATTTCAAGATAAGATGCGGGTTATATACTTAGTATTTCTTTCTAATGAAAAAAAATTCACCAGCAGTTTGATACTCAAAGATATACCTCAACTACTTAGACTACGCTGCTTTTTAAACTTGGCTGCAAAGCAGAATTCCCAGAGACTGAAAACTACCAATGCCTATTTCTTACCCCCAGGGATTCTGCTTTAATTGGTACAAGGTGGGGCATTCTATCAACTATTTTCTTACTCCGTGGTAATTAGCCATCTGTATGGCATTTTAAACTCTCCACCATTTATCAACTGTAGGACTGTTTTGATTGGTCGGGTCTTCGTGCGGAACTGGATTCTGCAGAGCAGCGCTTACTGTGCAGGAAAGTTGTGGTGTCTCTATTTGCCTTAATCCATTCTCCTCTCACTTCCTTACGAGACAAGCGGCTGCTTTGGCAGCAACGGTGAAGGATCATTGAAAACACCAAAGAAAGGACGGAGCAGCCTTCTGGATATTCTCGCCACTGAGGATTCATTTAACTGTGCTTTTTGTTTTTCATTTTCCTCTACATTTGCAAAAGCTCTCTCTCTCTCTCTCTCTCTCTCTCTCTCTCTTTGTGTGTGTGTGTGTGTGTGTGTATGTGCGCGCAAGTCACACTGAACTTATTGCTGTAAAACAAGCTAAAAGGCTATCTCTTTGGGACAAGTTAGAAAATTCTGAAGCCAGCAGGAGCATAGTAAGTGCTTTCTTTCTTACAAAGCTACTTCTGGGGAGCTGGGAGGCTATTGTAATGGTAAATCTCCCTGAGCTAGGAAGAAAGGGTTGATAATCAAAAAAAAAAATCTGAGGTTTTCTTTTGGGTTTTGCATTTTTCTTAGATATTTTTAAGACTTAACATTTTCCTCTGTAAAGTATACCGAAAAAGTTTTGGTGTGTGTGTGTGTGTGTGTGTGTGTGTGTGTGTGTGTGTTGTGTGTGTGTCTGTGTGTGTGTGTGTCTGTGTGTCTGTGTGTCTGTGTGAGATAAAAGCAATCTGTAAGAGGGACATGAGGTTGAAAGAAGCTTTTTCCGACCTTATGGAGACATGTACCATTAAGGAGCTTCTGTGAGAATTCGGAATTTCAGGAGGAGAACTGATTTTCAGAACTGCCTAAGTGAACAATCCTTTTGGTTCAGCATCTTGGAATTAAGCTGAGAAAAACAGCTTCACGGCTGAAGGAAATCCTTTCTCAACATCTCCCTTTTGGACGGTACGGTCATGAAGGATGGTGTGGCTGGTTTTCCTGAACAGGCTTCAAGCATTTACAATTTAACTCGAAGGATCATGTGTTTGGCATGATGAGGACCACAGAGAACTTGGATGAGACTAGTGCCACACTAAACCCTAACAGGACCCCCCCAGGAAGATACATTTATTTGGAAGCATTCCTGCAGGGAGGAGCCCCCTGGGGTTTTACTTTGAAAGGTGGTCTGGAGCATGGAGAACCATTAATCATCTCGAAGGTATGTTTCTCTTTCCATTCTTGCTTTATTGCAGTTACTTTTTCAACTTTGCGGCTTTTGTCACTTCTGTTTTAAAAAGGGCAGAAATGAGACTGAGGTTTCCCCAAATATTGTTTTCTTTCCTGTTTCTTACCTTGAAAAGGAAGAAAAATGTGTCTGGTTCATTTATTCTGTGAAATCCATGGGAAAATGCGCCTGTGTGATGGATAATCTCTTTTTGTGAATGAAATAGTATAAAAACAGCGTCCACGGGTTCATTTCAGTTTTAAATCAGATTAAAGATTAGAAACATAGCTGAGATGGCAGCATGTATAAATATATAGTCTGTTATTTAGCAAATGGTTAGGAAATAACTCTTCTTTTCCCCTTTCCAACTGGAAATATTTAGCATTCCGAACTATTTTAGAATCTGTAGTTTGGAAAATTGAGTGCATAAATATTATTTATTACTGTTTTTGCACACTCAAGAGAAGTCAGGAATTTTTCAGTGTGGTAGAGGGCAAAATACTATTTCTGCCTATGTATTTAAGTCAGCCTAAAATCTTATTCATCCTATAACCCATCTCTATTCTTTTTTTCTATGGGTAGGTATTTCCACTGAGTAAATTTTTTAAGCATTAGATTGGCTGTATCTGCATTTATTTTAAATCACATAGAGTCAGAGATATTATAGACATTCCTTTAAAAATCTCACAATCATAACACAAGTTTGCAGCTGAACATGATTACTTTTCACACATATGCATTCCTCAAAAAACATTTATAATTATGGAGAGACTGTTTTAGTTTGAGAGTGAAAGTGATAAATATGCATTTCTCCTTTTCTTTGTATAAGTTTGGTTTTCATATCCTTCCAATGTGTGTTTTAAGAGAGATTGAAATAATTCTCACAGGAACTGGTTGCCAGAAATCAGCTCAGAGCATAAAGGATGGGATTGGGTGCTATGTGTGTTTATATTTCCTAAGAAAACAAAAGCTATGTGTGCCTTAGAAATTCTGCCAGTTATAAGTGGAAACTTGATTTATATTGGGTGCATTACATGGGCGCTCATTTTTCTAATATTGCTTGTAGTCTGGAGAGAGGTTATCCAGGCAAGGAGCAACAGTTCAATAACATCATCAAGGATGGCATTTCTCTCTCCAGTCTGTTATTCTTATGACATTGGCTTTTGCCTTCAGGACTGTGGTGGATTCCATATTTCTGGCAGCTTTATTCTGGATATAGCTTAGGCTTTTTTTTTTTTTGGATTGACTGTGGTTTTGATTTTTGGACCACACCTGGAGGTGCTTAGGGGGTAGTCCTGGCTCTGCACTCAGGGATCACTCCTGGTGGAGCTCAGGAGACCATATGGAGTATGAGGGATCAAACCTAGGTTGTCTACCTGTAAGGCAAGAAGAGCCCTACCCTCTGTGCACAGGCTCTGGCCCTAATTTTGATGTTTTTGTTTAGAATAAGGTACCCTCCCTCCCAGACTTTTGCTTACAACTTATTCACAAGAATTCTGTCATATATCTATCCCTAGATCAGTTACTGGCCAAACAGAATGATATTAGGGAATAGGACTATGATGATTAGTTCTGACCAGTCAAGACTTCTCTCCTGAGTTTGACAATGGGGACCTACTTTTCTTGATGTCAAGAAATCTCTACCCACTACTTGAACAAATTGGAGAAATACAGCAGAAAATGGTGCTGGGTAGACAAGTGGCAATGTATAGTCAAAATATATGTTATCTCTAGTTGTATATTCAATTTGCCTGGTTGCTAATGATAAGATATTCTGTCTCCATATATTAGAATACAGTTTGCTATCATACAGACTTAATCGTCCCACTAATAAGCATTCCACTGAGATTCAATTTTATCTATAATTGACTATAATATTATACATAGTCATTGCATATTATATATAATATTATCTATATTATTATCACCCAAATCCAAATATGAGGGGAATAAATAAGAACCAGGCATTTAAGAGCATTTAGCAAGGGCCAGACACACAGGAGGAGCTCCCAAAAATTAGAAGCTAGGATTATGGCTATAGTTTTTCATTATTTTATTTTATTTTTTTGCTTTTTTGGGTCACACCTGGCGATGCACAGGGGTTACTCCTGGTGGTGCTCAGGGGGCCATATGGGATGTGGGAATTGAACCCAGGTCGGCCATGTGCAAGGCAAACACCCTACCCGCTGTGCTATTGCTCCAGCCCCTATAGTTTTTCATTACTCTGGAAGACATTTGCACTAAGACATAGATTAGACTACTGCACACAAAGATTCCAAAAAAACAATAGCTTACGTAATGGAGTTTATAGTTCCCTCAAATAACAATCAGGCTGAAAAATGGCCACGTGGTACAAGGGCCCAAGTCTCTTCATTCATCTATATCTGGACTGATGTCCTGTGTGCATGATCCAAGATAATTTGTCACAAAATTTGCTTCCCAGTCAGCAAGGAAAAGAAAAAGGAGAACAAGAAAGCAATTGCCTTCCTTTAAACTGTATAATCCAATACCATCTCTTTGATGGCCACCAGACACACATGTGACTATTTCCATTTCAATTAAAAGTAACTAAAATGGGGGCTGGAGAGATAGCACAGCAGGTAGGGTGTTTGCCTTGCACGTGGCCAACCCGGGTCCAATTCCCAGCATCCCATATGGTCCCCTGAGCACCACCAGGAGTAACTCCTGAGTGCAGAGCCAGGAGTAACCCCTGTGCATCGCCAGGTGTGACCCAAAAAGAATAAAAAAAGTAACTAAAATGAATTAAAATTGAAAAAAAAAACTGTCCTTCATTTGCATCAGTCACACTGCTTCGAAGCTTTCAAATATTTCTCTTCATCTTGTCTGTGTGGAAAACTCGTATTCATCCAAACTCCATTTCTTCCTTTCTAAAATTTTTTTTATTTCGCTAAACCAGATAAGGCTATTTTTCTCCTATACCCCCAGAACATGGGCTGGAGCGATAGCACAGCGGTAGGGCGTTTGCCTTACAAGCGGCCAACATGGCCGACCCGAGTTCGATTCCTCCGCCCCTCTCGGAGAGCCCGGCAAGCTACCGAGAGTATTCGATATGCCAGACACAGTAACAACAAAGTCTCCAATGGAGACGTTACTGGGCCCGCTCGAGCAAATCGACGATCAACGGGAGGGCCTTTACCTTTACCTTTACCCCCAGAACATAAACTTCTTATCATGCCTCATACTTTTTAAAAACTTATACCGATTATTTTCTTTGAATCCTATTAGCCTCCTTAGGGTAGGGCTACGTTCTTTTCATTTTTACTTCATCTAGTTCAGATCCCAGGAAGACAAATATTTATTAAGTAAATGAAAGAGCACGGCCTACATCTTAGTCATTTTGCATCTTCAGGATCTTGCCAGTGTCCAGCACAGAATAGATGCTCATCAAATTTCTGTCAAACTTGTCAAAGCCATGACAAAGGAGCACAGTGAACAATTTAAGTGAGGAAAGAGGTAGCAAGGATGCCCTGCGGCAAGATCTCTTGAGTTGGAGCGTATATTTGTTTCCCACTGCTGTTGTATCAAATTGCTGCAAGCATTGTGATTTAGGGCTGGAACAATAGCACAGTGGATAGGGCATTTGCTGACCCGAGTTCGATTCTTCCACCCCTCTCAGAGAGCCTGGCAAGCTATCGAGAGTATCTCGCCTGCACGGCAAAGCCTGGCAAGCTCCCCGTGACGTTTTCGATATGCCAAACACAGTAACAACAAAGTCTCACAATGGAGACGTTACTGGACCCGCTCAAGCAAATCGATGAACAACAGGAGGACAGTGACAGTGACAGTGATTGTGATTTAAAACATCACATTTTAAATCACATACATTTTACCTAGTGGTCAGAAGTCTAACATAGATCATACTGGATGTCAACCCCATTGTGGACCCTACTGTGGCCTTTCAATGGGTCAGGACCCATTGAAACTCTAAAGGAAAATCCGTTTCCTTCCCTTTTTCAGTTCCTTGAGGCTTCCTACAACCTCTTCTGTCGTCTTGAAAGTCAGTCACAGCAGGCTGAGTCCCCTCTATCCTCTGCCTCCCTCTTGACTTTTAAGGAAAGCATGAAAGTCCACATCTCAAGAAGGGAGATGCGGACGACACATGCAAATTCACTTCCCCTTTTCCACAAAAACTATATTCACAATTCCCAGGGATCAGAATATTTCCTTTTTAGGGGGAGAATATGTATTGAATATATATGTTCAAGTTGTTTGAACATTGATCAAAATCTATAAAATTTAAGTTAGTGCTGATGTTGGTAGGCCCCACGGGTGGCTTATGTGAAGCGGGGAGGAGAAAGATGGTTACTTTCTCCCCATCTGCCTCTGCCACCCAGGACCCAGGGTTACTGGGTTCTTGTCTCACCTTGTAGAAAGGAATTTCAGAAGTAGACAAGCAGTGCAGTGAAACAGATTTTATTTGGAGGTTTTGAAGGGGAGGAGGAAGAGAAAGTGGGAGAGAGTGGAAAGTCAGGTGCTCAAGAGAGAACCCGAGCTTCTCCAAAGGCAGAGAGAGCCCCTACACATATCCCAGCATTAGACAGGAAAGCATGAAAGTCCACATCTCAAGAAGGGAGATGTAGGTGACACATGTGCTCGGGCACCACATGTGCTCAGCCACGTGGACACAAGCAACACATGGGCTTGGGCAGTTTATGTGAACCCTTCCTTTGTTCAAGGTGGCTTTTATAGGGATTTTCCAACCTGACTCCTCATGGGGCTTCTGCCTAGGTAAGAGTCCGTTGCTAGGGTTGTGGCTAGGTGGGTAGAATTGGGTGCAGCCTTGGAAACTCGTTTTCTTGACCTTTGGTCCTGCTGGCTCTTCTCTCAGAGGATAGGTCCAGTCTTCTCTGGTCTGGGCTAGCTGAGTTTTAATCAGATTAAAGGAAGGAATTGAGTGTTCTCCAGTAATTCCCTTCAGGCCCTTTCTGTAGGGAGGGGCCCAGTCTCCTCAGGGTCAGCTGCTGGAAAAGGCC